GTTGGGGAGGGGAATGAATAACAACAAAGCACAGTGACACATATGTGCGAACAGGCCATAAGGAAACCTGTTACATTGTATGTAGTAGTAATTCAAAGGAAAATAATTTTTCAATTAAGAAAAAGAAATTCTATGAAGGGCTAGGGACGAAGCTTGGTGGAAGAGTGCTTGCCTAGCAGACAAGGCTCTGGATTCCATGCCAAAACTCCATAGGAAAAATACATACACATGCATGCAAATGTATAGATACATCTGTGTATATATACATACATGTGTATATACATACATATTATATGTATAATGTTAGGTTGTGCCGCAGAAAATTGAAAAAGAAAACAGTGAGAAATCTCACTCTCCAGTTCAACTTTGAGAAGCAAGTCTGAAGTTGTGGGGTGTGCGCACGTGTGTGGGAGGGTCCGAGTGTGGACGGCAGAGGTCGATGGCAGGTGTCTTCCTCAATCACGCTCACCCTTATTTCCAGACTCTCGCTCTGAACCCGGAACTTACTGATTCCATTAGACTGGCTGGCCAGTGAGCTCCTGGGATCCGCCTGTCTCTACCTTCCCAGCCCTGCAATTACAGATGCACTCCACCATGCCTGGTTTTTTATGTGGGTGCTGGGCCTCTGAACTCAGATCCTTAAACTTTGTGTGGTAAGTACTCTATCAACAGAGCCATCTCAGCCTAGAGAAAGAAGGTTAACCAACTGCAAAAAGAATTTTCCCTGGCTGGAGAGATGGCTCAGTGGTTAAGAACACTGGCTGTTCTTGCAGAAGACCCAGGTTCGAATCCCAGCACCCACATGGTAGCTAACGACTGTCTGTAACTCCAGTTCCAGGGGATCTGACAGCCTCTTCTGACCTCCATGAGCATTGCACAACACGGGTGCACTTACCTACATGCAGGCAATACACTCATACACATAAAATAAAAGTAGCAAATAAAATATTTAAAATACATTTTATGAAAATTCTCAAAGAATAAAAATATTACTTTATTTTAACTTTTTATTTATTTACTCTTATTTTATGTTTATGAGCATTTTGCCTGTTTGTACATAAGTGCACCATGTGCATGCAATGCTTCCAGAAGCCAAAAGCGGTGTCAGATCCTCTGGAACTAAAATTAAAGACAGTTGTTAGCTGCAATGTGGATGCTGGGAACTAAACCTGGGTTCCCTGCAAGAACTGCCAGTGCTCTTACCCTCTGAGCCATATCTCAAGCCCCAATAAAAACATAATTAAAATGAATAAAAATTACAGTCATCTGTGACTTCCAAACATTTCATTTGGAATTAAAGCCTCTTTGAGATCACCAAAGAAAAAGGAGTGATAGGCAACTTAGATGGCCACTAAGGATCCCTGCCTTCTGTAGCCAGTACAAACATATCCTTTTTCTTGTGTAGTCAATACCTAGTAACTTGCTTTGAACAAGACCACTGTGATAGATATTACACCTAACATTAGTTTATGAAAGACTCTGCCTTCTGTTGTATTTGTACTCTCTCTTATTTCATTTTGTGAT